TGACGGTCCAGCAGTAGCCCACCCAAATTAAGGAAAGAGATCACAGAAGCCGTAATAGGGAAGTGCTTTCAGTAGATTCGTTATTGCTAACAGAAAATTCATCTCAATAAAATGATAGTCAAAGCTAAAGGTTTGACAAGGTAACAGTACGGTGTTGCTGGCTGCAGAGGAACTAAGCACTTGAACAATGCCATCGACCCATCACAGTCAAACCAAAAGTTTAGAGCAAGTAAAAGATGGGTAACTAGGTGATAAGCTTCAAACTGGAATCTGAAAGACAGAATGTATATACTAATGAGCTTTCAATCCAATTAGCTCACACATTAACAAACAAGGATTGCTGAACTGCTATTGGATTATATTAGCAGTAAGCGAGCAGGATGACCTTGCGAATAAATAAATTAAAAGGTAAGGAATCTGAAATGTCAAATTAAGCTCAAAGTTAAGAACGTCAAAGATATAAGAAAGCCTACAGCTCCAATTAGCAAAAGTAACATCATGCACTTCCACTTGAAAATGGTCCCATCAGGTGATAACTTTTCTAGGTACAGTTCTAACCTAATTTTGATTTCTGATAGTTCCTACATAAGTTGACGCACTATAAAGAAAAGAATAATAATTAGAGAAAAAGTTAAACGGTTGATAAGAACAAGGCAATACATTCAGGTTTGCAATACTTTGCATACATTGTCGCGTTCTATTGAAAGCAAACTGAACATAATTAAGAAGAAATATTGACAATTGAAAAGTTACTTTTCAGGAAAGCACATTACCTTATAATGGAACAGAAAAACCTGTTTGTGAAATCCAAAGACAATTGCACGAACTGAAAAACAAAAGATTTGCATTTAAAACAAAATTCCAGATTAAAAAAAAAGAGCTGGACGGTTTGTTTAGTCTGAGTCCGATTTACCTCCATTTACAACAAAGTTCATCAGATGGAACACCTTTTGTGTTGTCCAACCATACTCGGGTACCCTCAAATCGATCCTTATTAATTGAATCTGCACATAATTAACTCATAGACTCAACCAAAAGTCCTGCCAACTAAGCAAGCACCACGAGGAAAACAGTTCTCTACACATGCAGTGTTAGGTAAATACTGTATCTGAAACACATATATTAATCGAAGTATGAAAAAACACCCTTCCATGAAACTCATCTACTTATTGGAAAAGGTCATAAGCCCCAAAAGCACACACAAAAGGAGTACTCCCAAATACTGACATCAAAACCTTAGATAAGAGATCAAAGCTTTAAAGATATAGATAAATTAACAACAAGCATCTACATGATAATTGATTATGAAATAATTTGGAATTCTGACATAGCGAACATCCAAAGTCTTGCAGAATCCTCAGGAAAGAAAGGAGAGTACAAATAAAGAAGTATTGAATTTGAACCTAAGTAAAACTATTCTGTAGCTTTTAACTAACAGTCTAACCGAACCTACCAGAAGTATGATTAACCAGTCAGTCCACTGCTCCAAACTTTTATTAGTGACATAGAAAAGCACAAAATATCCCGTAATTTGCCTTAATGAAAACCCCTAAATTACACTTGGTAATCAAACATTCTTGAATGATATGCAAACTTCATTATTTCATTCCTACAGTTGACCAACCAAGATTTTCCATTTCTAACAGAAGTTACGAAAAAAACCCAACTAACAGCAAGTATTTGACTTTATAACATGAACTAGACACTGCAATTCTATCAACTGCATCTCAACATCAAATTAGTTGGAGTCTAAAATATAAATCATCTACATCAATTCCGCCATTTCAGCTCCCAAACTCTACTTTGATCGTGAAATTCACAAAAAGGAAGAAAAAACCAATCTTTACATATCTACAGAGCAGAAAAAGAGAAACTTACTAGGGCAACGGCTGAAACAAGAGCATAAGAAGCACACAGGGAGTAGAAAATCCCATCTTGCCACTGAACGGATTCGTTGACGTGGTCCCACCAGTTAGTCGCCGGACCGGCGATGTCAATCGGCGACGACCCAAGTGGCAACCTAGTCATTTCAGTTCTCTCCTCCGCTTATCTTGTTGTATTGAAAGAAGTCAAAAAACTGATGCTATAAAAGAAAGAACAAGTAAGGAACGTGCTTAAGGTGCCATACACATGAAAACAATGCCATCAAATCATAAATGGAAATCTTTCTTAGTTTTATTTACTCTTACCTTCCTAATACAAAAAATTAAGATAACTAACTATACAAGTTCATTTGGAGTTATTGGCCATTTCGTTTCATATTTTAACTATATTATAAAATCTTATGTGTCTTGTGAAAAATATTACATACACTTTTATATTTGATGTTTTTATTTTATTCTTAATGATTCTTCTATATATATTCACGTTGAAAGTTAGAAGTCTGTAGTATATTAGTGTGTGTGAATTTTCAGTATCTATTTACTTTAGAGGTACTGAGGTAGAATAATCAATAGATTCAATTTGAATTTATCTACAATTTGATTGCTAAGGAAAAATATCATAGTCCCTTGCACGAGCTAGAATAGCAGGATTCCATTTTTGAAACCTTACCTTAAATTTATCAAGACTCAAAAATTATCTCATTAGTTGTAATGAAATATGGAGACGGATTTCATTCTATTAAATTCACTATTCATTATGATATGATACATACAAACAGTGAACAGCTGATTTTACCATAGAAAAAATAATTTTAATAAAGGCTGATAATGCAAAAAGTCACTAAACTATATTTCGTAACAAAAAAAATATATTCAATTTTACCTAAGAATTAAAACAAGACTCCGAACAATTTTGGTAACAAAAAAGTCTTTTACTTTGGGCAAAATATAAAAAAATTAGTTTCACCACTTTCATAATAATCAATTAAAAGTTGTGATTTATTTTTTTATAAAATAATAGTTTAGTAATTTGAATATAAATAAAATAAAACTTAAAGGATCATGTACGAATTTAACACGGATATTCTATGGTTGTAAGGCGGCATGGCCCAAAAGCCAAACACAAATTCCAAGTCGACAATTACATGCCGCCGTATACCCAATTTTCATCGCCAAACTTGAGTTGTTATTTTATTGAAAAAAATGGACTATGAATTATATATCAGTGTCTGGACTTTGACAAAATCATGGACTATGGATTAAGGAGAGTAAAATCATATTGTTGACTTTATTCATGAAAAATAAATAGAACTCCTATTTGATTGACCATAAGTATATTTGAAGGAGCAGGACTCGTGGAAAGAATGCACCAAATCCTAGATGTATTTGAAGTTTTGTTTGACCAGGGTATACTTTTAATTTTCGAGAATGTTACTCCAATTTGGATTCAAAGGAAGTACGAGATAGAGAGAGACCAACTTAGGATCGTTAAAGTTAGTGTTAGAAGTCACCTGATGCTTGCAAAGACGTAATTATATAATCTTTCATCAAAAAATTATGTTGTGTGCGAATAATAAAAATAATATTTTTATATTTCTAGCTTCGTCACCGATTCCACATCTAAGTAGAACACCTCCTACATCTCATGGTTCTTGCCTCTTAGGCCCTAAAAGGCTGACAAGACCTTAGATTCCCAGTTTGTTAATAGTTGACTTTAATTGTTAAAAGAGCACGGAATAGGTGTTTCAATTGTTCTGTTCTTACGTACAGCAAAATTAACCAAATAGTTTGGGCCTTGCAAGCTGAATTTATTAGACTGATTTGTTGGGGTGGGCCGGGCCCTTGCAATAGTGCAGCGCATGGACGACGCTTGAGAGCGCAGGTAGCAAGCTACCTTGATGAACTCTCCCCCTTAAAAAATTGAGTTAATATCATGTGGACCAATGACCCACATATCAGATATTAAACTGATAAGAACAGATACTACACTTGATCTTAGCCAAAAGGCCGAGAAAGGTATGCCTTGAATGGAGGCCCGTTTGGCATTTTATTGCGTACAGATTTCTTGTTGCTTAGTCTGTGTGGCGATGTGGGACTTCTGGACAAACGCATCACATTTGCGAGAACTATGTATTACACGAGAAATTTGCAGCAAAGGACCAAGAAAATCAAATGTACTCTTTTTACATGTAACTTATTGTGTGTGTTTTTCTCCCTAGCAACCTGTTCAAAATTATGGAATTTTCAATACATTCCTCAAAGTGTTTGTCAATACAGTGTTTATTATCATCGAAGGTTGTGGTGAGATGGATAAAATCTCTTCACCTTTAACTAAACATTTGGGGTTTGAGCCCTGAATATGAAAAAAAGTTCTGCTTGGGAGCGCGCTCCCACTTTAACTAGCCTTATCCGGATTAATCAAGCTTCAATGCTTTTAAAAAATACATGGTGATTCCTTGTTTTTTATAGTGAAAATTGGTACAAAAACGTTGAATGGACTTGATGAAACTATATCTTGTTCTTGATCCTTTTTTTTTTTTTTTTTGAATTGATCCCAACAAATGTGCTACTAATTCTTTTTATAAATTAGCAGGGTCAGCAAGCAGAAGACAACTGCTGAATATGTACTTAGATATGAGAAGGTGAAGTAAGAATTAAGCATCATCATTTGCCAGAATTCCTTAGTTAACATAGCTTGAGCTAATATAACAAAAGTTCAAATGATATATAATAAATAATGTAAAATAGTCAATGTAGTTTAACGCGTGACTAGACATTCCTCTTTTTCCCGTTCATATACTACACCTAAGATGTTCTAAGAGCTAGTGACTTCAGAATGAGTATAGTGTTAAATATATCCATGTTTCTTACAGTTACTTTTGAGTAAGATATATACATGGTTCAAGTGGATTCAGTAGAAACAGACCTAAGGTTGTTGCAGACTATGGGTTCTGTAATTTTTGAGTTAATGATATGAACAAACATGTGGCCTCAAAGTTTCTGTTTTTCCACAATTGCATATGCTAGTATATATGCATAAACATTAGAAAGGATGAATAAATAACATGAACAATTAGCATGACATGGAAGATGAAATCTGTAAGAACTACAAGAAAATTCTCTTTGCTGTAGGCGAAAACATTAAACATGAACATGTTCACCTCATGTACAAACTGACTCAAGTCTCAACTATATTCAAGTTCCACTATTTGATAAAGTGGAAAACTGCAAATTTCTTTCAATGACGATAACGTAGAGTTTTTCGGTCTTTTAATCTGCACAAAACATGTTTTATGTTTCATATCTTGCTCACTTTTGACAGGAAATCAAAATACTTGGGCCTAGTAATGCAGACAAAGTCCTCCTAAGTCCCTATTAACAACACAGTCCAATGATGCAACTTAAATCATATTCTATACGTACTCGTCATCTATGGTTTATACATGTAAATTTCCAGGCCTAACTGGCAAGGTATTACCTGCTCTTGCTTACAAGAAGTCCAGATGATTGACAATTCTCTCAAATTCCAAGCAATTGAAGGCAATCAGAAAGCACAAGATATTTGGCTAAAGAATAAGAACAGAATTCAGTCTTGACACAAAAAATTGAAAGCTCCTATGAGAGCATTATTTCTTCCTCAAATCTCTTAGAATCAACCTTGAGATTTCTATAACTGAACCCTGGAATTTCATTCATCTTACAACTCTCAGAAACTTCAACCATAGAACACATTGCAGGTAATGCACCACCAGTACCTCTTCTCTTCTTCTTTTTCCATTTCATCGTCAAGAACCCGAAACTAGGCCAATTAGAATTACCACCACATGAATCTATTTCCACTGAACTCTTATGAGATTTATTATTAGAACTCCCTTTACAACAATCCACCTCAACTTTTCTGAAATACTCAATCTCTTTCTTCAAAAGTGATCCTATAGTTCCCCTTGTGCCTACTTCAACCGGCACACTTGTACTCATTTTATCAGAGAACCTACTAGCTCTGTATAACATTCTTTTTTTCGCGGAAAAAAAAAAGAGAGGAAGAAATTCAGAGGTTGTTGGAAGGCTTGTTTGTGAAGAATGAATTGGTTGGTATTTTTAACTTTGCATTAAGGAAGCAACTTGTCTATAGTGCTAATGCCTAATGATAGTGTTTAATAGACATACGCTTTTTCTTTTTTTTTGTTGAAAGTGGACAGCGTGAGGCTCTGCATAATTGTAGCAGTGGATGGATGGGAGATGTAATCATCAACAAAACTTGCAACCAAAGCATATGCCTAAATATAAATTACTAGTACTATTTATTTTACCTTTTTCTGTCTCTCTGACTTATTGGTTCATACACAAGTTAGTCATCATGATCAACCTCAAGAAAGAAAAAATATTTTTTTTGTTATTAAATTATTGCTAAAAATGAACTTAATCATGTCTATGACAGCAGAGGATACCTCTGTGGTCCTTAGCAATCAATGTCTAGGCCTTTTTTTTAACCCTTGCTTTGCAAATAATCATAGGATAATTTGGAAAGGATTATCATGTTTACGCCGCCCCATTAATTTAAAATAACCTTTGTAGTTATCCATGGTTATTTGAATGATGTACTTATACAACCTAATCATGCACTTAAAAATAAAAATGGCGTAAGCACTAATCCTAGTTTGTTTAAAGCGACGTTTACCTAAGATTGCAATGTTTACTAAGTTAAAGAAACCATTACCAAGTAAGTATTCTTATTAAAAACACATTGCTAAATTGCTTCTTATGTCTCTATTTTAAAAAAAATAAAGGTGATGTATGTTTACTACCTCTCGTTGGACAAATGGGAAGAGATCGCCAAGAATTTTATATCTATTGATATTTGAACTCTTATCTTTCACCCACTTCATTGATCGATCAGCCACTCTATTTTCATATATATATAATAAAATAAAGTCACTAGATGAGTTCAACGTTAACCCAACTAGTTTTTGTGTAACAAGCACTAACATCTCATGTATTCTTGTTAACACATTGCAAGTTGCACAGAGAGCACTTGAGAACACCAGATTGTGATAGCATGTTTTAAATTGTGTCAACATCCAGCAGTGTCCAAGTAGAACAACAAAGAAATGTACCTGTTTTTCACAAAAGAGTAACCTTTAAGAAAAATGATCAAACATCCTTCAAAAGACAGAACATAAACAATCAGTTAAAAATCTCAAAATTATTACTCATTTCTACTACTTCTCTCTCTTTCTCTCTCCATGTTTTCTTCCTTCTGCAATCCTTTTCCATTGCATATACAAGTACAGTTCTTCTTTACAACGTATGGAATCACAAGACCATGCAAATGCTTTGATAAGCAACAGCATGCAGTCAGCATAAGCATTCACAAACTCGCGCTTCCCTTGGGACTATCATGATCAGATATAACCAACTAACTACGGTATGCTGGGAAGATGGCATGAATATCTTAGGCGCTGGTGTGAGGCACAAGCATGTTGTAATGCATCATCTATTCTTGAACCACCCTGATAAAGAGATTCATAATACTGACATATGAACTGGGATAACTCCCCCTGATCATCATATTTATCTCAAAAGAACTCTGAGTGTCCTTCACTTTTCTCTGGTTCACAATCTTCCCAAGCACTTGCTGGACTCTAGAAGGTTCCGAGTCGTCATCCTCTGCTTCTTCTTCACCAATTTCAAACTTCCCATTATTGAAAGAATTAAAATCACCTGACCCCTGACATGTAAACAACCGTGCTTCATCGGGCTCAATGGAAGGACATGTAACAGCTTTAGCTCCTGAATCTAGAAAAACCTTGACTACAAATTGGGTAGGGCCACAGAAACCAGTGAAGATTATAATTCTCCCCCTCCATGCTACAATCTGGAAGGTTAAACAAATACTGGAGGAGTTAGTGCTGCCTCCTTTCTAAATCATTATATTTTCTGGGATAAATGTGTGTGCATAGAGCAATAGGTCACAAGCACATCTCTTGGAGAGATGGCTCGAAATGAATCAACATTCTCACCTAAAAATAAATAAAATAATAATTAAGTGGATCAAAATTGAGGGTCAACGGGTACGTTAAAATACGTACGTTGCTCCTATATGAACCACTTTTGTGAGGTGCAGCATATGACAACCATCTTGTGCACTCACTTCTATTAGAGAGAGCAATGTGTCTGATCATTTATCCTTCGCAGGTCCACCTTCAGCTCTCAATATGAACTTGTTGACAAACTATAAGCAGGAATCTTGGCAAGTTTTCGCTCCTTCATGATTGCTCTAATCCTCCTTACCTCTTCCCACATGTCATTACTGGCATATATGTTGGACAATACCACATACACTCCATCGTTCCACGGTTCCAACTGTTGCAGGTGCTTAGCCACCCATTCTCCCATTTTCACATGCCCATGCTTCTCACAAGCCCCCATTAGGCACCCCCAGATCACAACATTCGGTTTCATCGACATCCCTTCAATCGTCCCCCTTGCCTCCTCGAACAACCCAGCCCTGCCAAGTAAATCCACCATGCACCCGTAATGCTGCAACATGGGTGCAATACCATATTCATTCTTCATCATGTTGAAATAATACTTTCCTTCTTTCACCATCCCACCATGTACACAAGCGCTCAACACCCCAATAAATGTCACATGGTTAGGCCTAACACCTGCCTCTCTCATGCAATGGAAGCATTCAACCGCATCTCTAACATACCCATGCATTGCATATCCAACAATCATAGAAGTCCACGAGGATACATTTCTTTCCTTCATCCTTGAAAACACCCTATAAGCAAGATCCATCTTCCCACATTTACCGTACATATCAATAAGAGAATTCATCATCAAAAGATCAGACCTTTCCATTTCTTTCGCTTGAAAGACACATTTATGCAATTGAGAAGCCAAATCCAAGTCTCCAAGACTACCACAAGCAGATGTCACACTCACCATAGTCACATCATCTGGCTGCAACCCACTCTCTCTCAACTCCAAGAACATTTCTATGGCTTCTTTAGCACGCCCACCTTGTGACAACCCCGCTATAATAGCATTCCAAGACCCCAACTTTCTTTCACTATTTTGTTCAAACACCTTCCGTGCATTCTCAAATTCACCAGCTTTAGCGTACAAGCTAATAAACCCACTCTCACAATACATATTAGTTTCTAATCCGAGCTTTATTGCAACCCCATGGAGCTGCCTTGCCACAACATAATTCAGAACCTGACAAATCGCCTTTAAAACAATGGGTAACGTGAAAGTATCTGGGCGAACACCAGTTCTTGACATAGTGATGTATACATGTAGAGCGTTGCTAGGGGAGTTAAGCCTAGTATATGATCTAATAATGTTGTTCCAGTGGAATTGTACAGGGTACAACTCCAAGAAGTGATTTCGGATTATCTGGGAGTAAATTTGGTCAAGATGGTGTAGATTGTTGCAATTTGATATTCGGGTCGCTATTATCTTGTCATTGCTGTCGAGAATATTAGTAGCAGTGGCTAAACTATGACTCAGATGAAATGAGTTCACTCTGTTTCTACCAAATCGGAGCAACAGATAATGAAATGGACTCATCAATAATATATTTGGTGTTGATTTCTTACCGGCTGTTGCTTTAGTCCCAAAAGACCTTATATTTATCCTTGGCTATTTGATTGATGTACTTATACAACTTATACTTCCGTTTGATCATAGCTTTTGAAGTTCAAACTTGAAAAATTGAGTTTTTAAAGTAGTTTTTAAGAGACATCCCAGAAATTAGTAAAATAACGGTGTTGACACCCAATTTTGACTTTTCTTTCTTTCGATATATTATTTTCGAGCTTTTAATTTAATAACGTATAAGATAATCCTTTTTCACAACTATTTTTACTATTATGACTATTCATCTACTAAAATTATACGTTTTATCATCGAAATGATTATTATCACTTTTTACACATATTTTCCTTAAATAATCTATTGTCGTCATTTTGTTTCAAGTTTTGTATTTTATAAAATTAATTATAAATTCATATTCTTGTATCCATATTTTTATATTAGCATAAAATCGTAATATTGATATTTTTATTTCATAAATTATTAGTTGTCATCCCATAATATATATTGTATTAGTTATTAAATTAGAAACCCAAAATAATGTAAAAGAAGAAGAGAAAACGATCCCAGAAAAATTCAGCTAAAGCCCAAAGTCTACAGCCAAATTCATCCCTAAACCTATCTCAACTTCCCAAAATGCCCTTTATGTTTTAAATCAGTAAGGGTTTCATGACCCTTCAACAACTACATCTGCACCACACCTTTCTTCCCTCCATTTTCGGAAAAGCAACAAGTTTTGTCAACTATGCACAGAGGTTGCGTACTCCATTTTCATGCTACTATCTGGTCAATCACGTGAAGGGAGAGTTCACCTAAAACGTTCAAAATTCAAACGGCTCTTTTGACTTGATTTTAAAGAAATCCCGCCCAAATCAAGAACCCTAATTCCATCCTATAAGTATTAGGAGAAAGTGTCTGTTTTAAAAAAGGTTTTTCAGCCGCACCATCTCTTATAGCTCACTTATCTTATCTATCTAAAAAAAAAAAATCAATTCTCTCGTATCACGTATTTACATCTCTTCCTCTTTGTTTTGATTTGGAGTTGCAACAACCTTTTATTTATACCATTCGTGGACATCCGAGGTACCGAGTAGTCGAGGCCGACGTCCTAGTTCACTGCCCCGAAGAAGGTCAGTATACATCTTTCTTCGTTTTCTATTGTAGTATGTAATTTGTTTTGAGTATTTTCGTCATCCCTCTGTTCTAATGTTTAGTCTCTGTTTCTTCCATTTTTTTTTTTATATATATGTTAGGAATCATTTAAAGCTAACATGCTATGGATACATTTCTTATAAAAACTTTATTGATTTGTTTATTCACTGAACATGTTATTACTCCCGCATTAGTTTTATTTTTATTTATTTTTTTTTTATTTTTTTTTACTTTAGAGTTTGTTGGAATCTGCTTTATTCGTTTTTTTTTTAGTTTTAAATATATGTGTACAGTTTTATAATTTATGAAAGCTAGAGTACACGAAAATGCTAAAGCTATTTATTTTTTTTATATCCCTATTGAAGTCATGGCTGCTGTATTTTAGTACTTC